ATTAATTCATTTTTTCCCCCATTTTAATGGATTACTATGAAAAGAAATGACAAAACTCATTTACTCAGTGCCAAAATTCATTTACTGTTCTTTTCCTGTATTAAAACCCAACATACTACAGTAATACAGTCAGGTTTACAAAGTAAAAATGTTAGTGCTTGTAGATATCTGACAAGTATTATTGTTATTTAAATCTAAATGAACATCCCAATATGCTTTGCCATCCATGAAATATTAGCGAACCAACAAGCAATGAACCAGGGATAGATTATGGGCTGTGATATGTGACCAGTTGGGTGAAATAGAGAGAAAATCTCTTTTTTTTTTCTCTTTGTTAAACACATTAAACCTTAAAAGTCTTGCTAGCTTATATGCATTCAAGCCAAAAGCATGTAGCCTGGTATGCTTTGTTTTAAAATAAGAATCAAGACTAGGGGTACATGCTTTGGAGCATAAAATGGAATTATATTGTGTTTATATTTAATGGTGATTTTTGGCGTCTTTCTGACAAAACTGGTTTTTAATTTCTAAGTTGTATTTATTTGTTTTTATTCCCAAGACAAGAACTCATTTCTCTCTCAGATTTGCATTTTGTTTGTCCATACAGTCCACTGTATTGTTTCAGTCTCACAGCTGCTGCCTGCAGCTGCTTTTGGTAAAACAACCACTGACTTTGATACAGAGGTAAAGGCATACCAATCACCCCTTATTCTTTATTAAGCATGAAAAAACCCATAGTTTTATACATGCATTTTTTGTATACTTGAGGCTGAACACAAGTTTAATAGATAAATAAATGGTAAACATATAAAGTACAACAAATCTGCTTATGTTTGGTTGCATTTCATCACAGGACTGCAGTTAAGTTGCAAGCTTCACCACGACACCCCTCCTTGTTAACCACTCTAAAATACCCAAGTCTGTCAAAAGAGGGCCACACCCAGAGCCAGTCACAAGCAGTCTATTTGCTCTGTGGGCTATAATGCATTGACTAACATCTCAGTGGGATCCCTCCCTCCTCTGCTCTCCTCTTCATCTCCTCATGACGTAGCCAGTGCAGTTACAACCCGGCCTCTGTGCAGAGACAAGGCAGCTGTTGTCATGTGCTTAGGGATGTTGTGCAGTCTGCGTCTGACGAATGGCTGCCTCTTTTGTGTCCTCTCTCTTTGCCAACTGGGCCATGCAGATCAATGGATCCCTCGCTGACAGGAAGATTATGGCAAATATAGGACACAGCACATGGTTCCAACTCACTGCTTATAAACACAAAAATAATTAGAAATGTATTTACAAATGAGCTGTAAGTGGAAATAACTTTGAATTTGATAACACTCTTGTGTTCTTGTCATCTGATGAGCAGTTAATGTGCTGTTATGCAAGGCATCTGGTGGAAATGTGTCTGCGTGCTTTGTTGACAACTCAAATTAGGGGTGAATTACAAGGGTGAACACATGGTCACCCACATTTTTTCTTTGATTTGCCTTTTGTTTTTTAAAGTATTTACAGCTGCAGCCGCTCTAACTTACAAAATTTTAACTGAACGCTTCATTTTTGGTGTATGGAGTTAGTAACAGACAGAGCCTTGCAAAAGCAGCCTGTGACACCGAGCCCCACATGTGCAGCTGCAGAAAGGTCCAGCTATGGCAGCCATGGGTATGCTCTGCCTGGCAGAGTGAAACTCAAGCCCTCAGACTCGGTTTCCCTCACTCTGTTCCCCTTTCTGCAGACAATAGCCACATGTTTCTGTTCTGTCTGGATTTTTTGTTTGATTAACCCCCTAAAAATATATAGATTTTTTTTTTCCTTTGTGCAATGAATTTTGCTAAAATTTCTCCTGCAATGATACAATCGGTGTGTAATATTTACAGTCATAGAGGCCTTTCAAAGTACATATGCTCCACCCTGCAGCAAAATAACAGAATACTGACTGTCAGATGGGGAAGGGGTTGAACCAAATACTGCCTTGTGACGTCTTCCCTGCAGCCTCCACTTTGGCAAATCTTTTTCTGTTTTTTTTTTTAGCCATTAACGCTCTGGCACACCAACCTGTCCTAATGTCTGTTACTAAAACCCGCCTCTAGGTATCGGGTTGTTGGGACACACCTCTTTACACTTGCACACGCTAACAAATATGCAGTATCAGTTTCCCTCCCCCTCACTGTATGTGATCAGAGCCACTCCTTTAGGATCAGCACAGAGGGGCCCCCAGAGCATCTTCAGACTGATCTTTAATCTACATCTGGAGGGTTCAACCAGACTACCTCAATCTCATCGTCGACTTCAGGAAAAACCGCCCCCACCATGCTCCACTGCTCATCAACAGCTCAGCTGTGGAGGTGGTCAGCGGCACAAAGTTCCTGGGGGTGCACATCACGGACAACCTCACCTGGACTGTAAACACTTCATCTCTAGTGAAGAGGGCACAGAAGCGCTTGTACTTTCTGCGGAGGATGAGGAGAGCCCGCCTGCCCCCGCCCATCCTCACAACCTTCTACAGAAGCACCATAGAGAGCGTTCTGACCAGCTGTCTCTCTCTGTGGTGTGGAGGCTGCAGAGCTTCTGACTGGAAGAATGTGAGGAGGGTGGTGAGGACAGCGGAAGGAATCATTGGGGCTCCTCTTCCCTCCATTAAGGACATTTCATCACAGCGCTGTGTGTCCCGAGCCCGTAATATCATCAAAGACCCCTCACACCCCCACCATGGACTGTTCTCCCTGCTGCCCTCTGGAAAGAGGTTCCGCAGCATCCGCTGCAGATCCACCAGGTTGTGCAACAGCTTCTTCCCCACTGCCATCAGACTGTTGAACCTTTGATCCACAATCCGAACTCTGCACGTATTGCACATTATCGGGCATCAAATGCTGCTGAACTTTTAACTTTTAGCCCTTTAAATTGTTCATCTCATTGTATTTTTCAATAACGCATTTTTTGCACAAATGCCATTTTGCACTGAACCACTGCAACTTGCACACTGTCTCTTATCCTCTGCACTGTTCACACTTTGACCACTGCTGCACTTTTTGTATTTTTCTATAACTCGTGCCATTTGAAATATCAATGCAACGTTCATAAGCTGTATGTAACGCAATTTCGTTCTGTATGCACCCTGTGCATACAAAATGACAAATAAAGAAGTCTAAGTCTAAGTCTAAGTCATGTGATCAGAGCCCCTGAGCCTTATGATCCAGGGTGGTGTGCAGCAGGGCGCCTCACAGTCAGGGGCCAGATAGTCATGAAACAAGAGCTAGCTGTGATTAATTCAAAGCTGTCAACTGTTTGGAAGTATGTTACTTTAAAAAAATATATGAGAGGCAACTTTTGGAAAATTAGCTGTCTTGACATCTAAAAATTGTTTGTTTGATTCCAGCTTCCTCTAGTCCTGTGTGGATACGCCCATCTGCAATGCACTTAAGCCCAGGTTGAATACTGATCTGAATGTTTGGTTGTTTCTGATTATGAATGAATACATTTGGGTCTTGTGGAAAGTAATTGGAGCAGTTAGAATGATAAGAAATAGACTATAGACATTTACCATTATTGGAAAGGGTTTATTTGGATTGGAATTAAACAAGGACCTTCTTCTGTTTGAAAGATATAAAAGCAACATTGAACATATTGGTTTTCTAGTCTGACAATCAGACGTTTGTATAAATGATTTACTGAGTTTCCTTTTTCTCCACAATTTGCTTCTCGTTTTCATAATGAACACGTGCAACTAATTTATTATTTTGCAACTTCTTTTGCAAATCGATTAATCTGTCGATTATTTTTTTGATTAATCAATTAATAATCAGATAGCCAAAGATTCCTTAAGGACGATTTTCTTTAGGAAAGTAAAGCAGGTGAAATTAAAACTTTTCCGCTTGAGGAGGTTTGGATTGAGCATATTGACTGAAGATTTTTTTTTTTTTTATTATCTTAAATGCTAAATTTTTATACATTTTTTTACAATCTTGGTACAGTTATTGCTAAGTGGGTTGCTCTGTCAGCTAAAGGCATGATTTAGAGTCCCTACACTCCAGTTAACGATTAATTAATTACTAAATTAGTTGACAATTATTTCAATAATGGATTAATCACGATTAATCTGATTAATTGTTTCAGACCTAAAGAATACAAAAACATTGGTCTCCACATGTATTCCTTAACTTATCTCTGAGATGTCCAAATCTAGCATCCATGACAGACCGAGGTTAAATGTTGAAAATCATTACACAAGCAACTGTTCATCCTTCTTGTTTTGTGCTGAAAATCTTGCTCTCTCTGACTCTCTTACCGTCTCACAGCTTGAAATAATCCCATACATCTATTGGAGCTAAGCATGGTGCAGTCATTATTTAAAACCAGTTGAGCTAAAAGTCATCTGACTCTGGTTTCCAGTCAATTTCTTTGAATCACTAGGGACATTTAATCACTACAAACAAGATCACAAGTGATGTTTAAAAGCATTTAAAAAAAAATAAAGGAATAAACTTGTTTTTAGTTCTTGATTAGTCTATATTTACGGAAATTAATTCTTTAAATTTCCCAGTAGCATATTGAATTCCTTACTTTGTTGTTGCGAGATGCTGCCAACAGCAAAGACGTGATCAAAGAACCAAATATTGGAAACACCTCTATGTATTTTAAATAATTCAGTTTAATATTTAGGAGCAGTCATCGTTGCATTATTGAATAGTTGCATTAATGCAATTTAGTGTAACATAATCAGTACAATATAAAAACAATTTGCTCGAAATATGTTTTAGGGAAGTCCTATCTCTGTATTGATGAACATCTTTATCATTTTTCATGCAAGGATTTGTGGTTATATATTAATTTTTTTTCTGTTAAGGATGTGGCTTTGCAGCATCAAAGATAAAATTAAGACCTAACCTAGTTCATTCTTCCTGAACCTTCTGAGGCCTCCTAAGCTCTGAATTTGGCCTCTTGTTTCTTGGTGATAATCAGCTGATCTACCATGTTTGCTAACCTTATCCCCCGCCCCCTTTCTTGTGCAGGTGTAGATGCTCCAGGCAGAGCAGGGTCCAGCCTCTGTGTCAGAGAGGGACGAGGCTGCTCCCACCTGGGCCGCAGCACTCCAGTGAAACCTTGGCTCTCTCCCGTTCAGCTCAAGCTGCATCGGATTAGAAAACAGGACGACACAGAGGCCGTTTTGTGTGAGGTGAAGCAGCAGCAGAAGAAGGAGGAGGAGGAGGAGTAGTCATCACAGTGGGGAGATTTTAGTCTGTTCCCCGCCCTCTGAAGTCCACTGCAATGACGACTGCAGTACAGCCCAGTGAACTGGTGTTTGAATTTTCCAACGGCATTGATGAGATGAACCAGGTATTTACCAGGAATAAGACAACACTTTAAATATTTGGAATGTTTTACTTGGACTCTGTTTCAACACAAATACTTGCTATCGTTTTACTAAACCTTCACCTTTTACCACAATTCTTCTTCACAATACCAACATTTCTCAGCGATTTGGTGCGATAGAGCAACACAAGGCAGACTCTTTTTATAGTGAAAAAACAGTATTTTTATGATTAAGATAAGAAAAAAATCATTATCTTATTTATTTGAAATGCAGAATATCAAATGATTTTACTTTAAGAGCAGCAAATGATCATGCCACTGGCAGATCTTTATACCTGCTCAAAATATAATCAGATACACTTATTTGGGCCGACGATTTGTATTAATCTGCTAAATCTATACTTTATCTGAATTACAGCTTTGAACATCAAAATAGTTTTCCTCATTCTTTGCAAGGCAGCTTTTGCTAGGTTTAACTGAGGGTCGACCATCTGTGCATAAGAGCTTTCAATTTTTGTCAGATCCTCTTTTAGATTTCAATCTGAATTTTCATCATATCCATTTTAACACACTGATTTGTGTCTAAAAAGGTACCATCTAACACCTTGTACAAGGTTTTAATTAATTTGTTTAGCTCCATATGTTCCCTGTTCCTGCTAAAAGGAATAATACCCAACCATAATGCTGCCACCACCATGTTTCACAGTCTAGCAAGTGTTTTCAGGATAATGTTAAGTGTTAGCTTTATCACAGGGTTTTTAAAGCTTTAAATAAAGTTCTATAACATTATGTCACTTTCAACTCCTCCACAGTCACATCCTTAACTTCTCTGCTGGGTTCCTTGTTTAATGACGATGTGCGCTCTCTTATGCTCTCTAACAAACCTTAGAGGCCTTCAGAGAAGAGCTGGATTTATTCATTATATAAATGTGATATGTAAATGTAAATGTATGTGATATAAATTAAACACATATGGACTCTATTACCTATTAGGTGTCTTTTAAAGGAAGCCAGTAGCTCTATGAGGTATCAGAATAAAGGGTACTGAATACCAACTGATACTAATCAATACTTTTAGATCTTTACTTGTGAGGGAAATATTGAAACCATTTCCAGTTTCCCTTCCACATCTCAAATATGTTTTACTTTTGACTGTCAGATAAAATCCCATTTAACAAGCATTCAAAGGCTCTCATTGCATTGAGAGAAAATGTGGTAAAATTCCAGAGTTATTAATACTTTTTCATGGCAGTGTTTGTAATCTTATTTATATAGACTTGTTAAAATAGACTGAGGAGGGATTAGTCTGTGACGTCTGAGTCTGACGATGACTCGGACAGTGGAGTAGAGAGGAGGTCTGGGAAGGACCGCTGGGAGCAAAGAGATGGCTAGATGGAAAAACCTGCAGCCAGGTTAGGTTGCGTACTGCGTGGGAGGAAGCTGGGGTGGGGCTTGGACTTGAATGTGTTTGTGGCACAAAGGTTGTCTTTGCATTACCATGGCGCGTATGAGCGTCTGTGAGTCTCGTTGGTCCTTTCAGGTGCACAGTTATCTCCTCCCGGAGAGCCAGCTCTGAATCCTGTGGAGCAGGCTAGTTTGTAAGTGGAGGCGGCAGAACTAGTGTTTATTTGTGCCAGTATCTGTGTTTGTGCATCTAGAGTGACAAGTTGTTACTGGATCCTTGAATAGCGCCACTACAGGCCCAACCTGACGGACCAGTTGTGTCGCTGCTTGGAAGAGACACACTATTCAGCCGAAAGGTCTCACATTGTTCCCCTGTGACAGTTTTGTTCTCTGTGGCACCCATACAGCTTGTAGTACAAGCACCTTGGCCCTCTTTACTTAAGTTATGGTACTGAAATCCACCTTCTGATTTTTACTGACAATTTTAATGACACCATAAACTCATCATAGCTGAGTGGAATCGTAGCTTCTATAATGATTATCTCTGCTATATTGGAGTCAAAGTCAATAAGTAGCCTCTTTTGACTCAGCATGTGATGGATTACAGTTTTTGTCATCTTCAACAGATCCATTTGGAACCAAACACTTCTTATGCTCAAGGATTTTTAACTTGCCAATCTGTTTAAAGGCCAGGGTTTCATTGCAAAGATTTAACACTCAAAATATTAGAACCCCACACTGAAATATAATCCCTTTTTTTAACTGTTGCCCAGTTTGTTGTTAGCATGTGATTGTTGAAATAAATTATTTTATCCCACCCTGAATATTAAGCTGTATGCTTTAACCAGGATTTCTGCAGGGTCTTTGAAAATAAAACCCCCAAGTTTAATAATTTAGCACTTTAAAGTCATACATATAAGCAGATGCTCCATCCTAATGCCTGAATTCTCCTTAGATAGGTCTTTAAAATACTTGCTTTTTCTGTGATTTTTTGAAGGTTTATATACTTGTTTTGTGAGATGTTTGTGTTTTAGTGTTAAGAGATGAATTAGGGCATTATTAAGCTTTGAAAAACAACAACACAAAAAACAGCCATGAACCAGAACAGTAAGCAGTCCAGTCAGTGAAAATATAAAGTCAGATAATGAGTACAATCCTATATTCTCCTTTGTTGGTTTGTTGGACATTGTAAGCTTCTTTTTCATAAAAAAAAAAACAGTCTTTGAAACAGAAATATCAGTTGTTTGCTAAAACCTATAGAAGATAACCAGTGCTGAATATACTACATATAAAGGCTATAAAGCTAGGCCAGAGCTTTAACCCTTAACTTGGCTAATGAATGAGATTAGATTCATTTGTAACTTATTAGGTAAGTGATTTACTATATTAGTTATTGTTATTATTTTTGTTGGTCAGGTAAGGTTTTGGCCACAATGGTCTTAAAAAGGTTTTTCGCTGTAACTAACAGTCTACTGCTTAAGACTAAAATAACAAGGACGTTTTACACAGCTTCCTTTAAGCGCTAAACTTAAATGGCTTATTTCAGTGGTTAATTAGTCTAGAATGTATTTGTGTCCCTAATGCTAATCCTTGTTTGCAGTGCAAACTCTTGATTTACTAAATGCACCATCGGATATGTTTTCAGAGTGGGAAAGTATTAGGCCTTTTCGAACAATGACCCCCTTAAAAAACAGACAACACTCCAGCCAATTCTCTATGTTATACTCTTCCTAATAATTTTTGTTCTGAGATTTCTGAAGGTAACAAGGCAGTTTACCTACACAGCTTATATTATGTATTTTGATATCTCTGAAAACAGATGATCCTTTAGCCATGTTTAAACTGACTAATGAAATGTTGACATGAAGATGAACAAAATTTAAAATTTAGTGTGAACTAATCATGTTATATATAATTAAATAATATATGTTTTTGTTAAGCTTTTAGCATGTTACTTGCAGTGATCTTACTGGTCTTTGATCTCCATAATCCTGCCTTTAGCTTTTGAACTGGTTCATCCCTCTGGCTCTGTGTATAGAACTAGTTAAACATGTCTAGAAACAGAAGCTCTAGGGGGTGAAACACAAAGTTCTGATAGGAAACAAACTCTAGCACAAGTTAAGCATTAGAACAAGGTTGAACCCTCCTCAGATCCATCACAGAATCCTTTAATTTAAATCATTTCTTCTTTTGAATGTGAAAAAAATGGTTTTCCCAAAAATATTGCAAAACTGTAATCCTTGTAAACCCATTATGTTCTTTTCTCATGAGCTGTATTATCAGACAGTGTCTTATTAAAGTGGAAGACTGTTTGACTTCTTCATTCAGTATCGATCAGGAGAGCTGGTCCATAGCAGACTCTAGAGTTTTATGATCCTAAAACTCTTCACTGTCAGAAGCATCATAGCAGTTTATAGGGTTAAAACTTCTATATCCACTTTTAAACCCTTCTCATGCTTCCTTTATGGTGTACAGAAAGTGATATTTCTTTAAATAAGAAACTTCCCTGTAAATGGTATGCTAATATTTTAACAAGTTACGTTTTTCCAGTCAGACCAACTGGAGGAATGTAATACAAAAATCAGTTCACATTAAAAGGGACATTTGGTATTTTGTCCATTTACGGGAAGGTTTAGGATTTTTTTTAAAAATAAATAAAGGAATCAGAGCCCTCCTTTTAAAAGCTTTTATTGTAGGCATCTGAATTTTGGAAGTAGGCGGTTTCTCTGTTCCAAATTTCACAACAAGGATATTAAGAACTTTAAGTCAGTTGAAACCTATTGTTTTGGGGCTGGTAAAAGAGAAGAGAGCTGCATGTTTGGAGGGAAACAGCCTGCACAGATGCTGTTGCTTTCAAAGGCAAAATGGGGAAGTTAAAAATGCAAATTAGCCTGATAGTTATCAACCCTGTTCCCTCTACTAGAAACACTATTCATGTCAACAAAGAGGAACGGGTAGTTAAAATGGGCGCTCTGTTAAACATAAGCAATTTTAGAAGAAAAACTTGTTGCTGGTTGTTACTCTGAGTTTATTCAGACATTTTTGGACTGATATTTCAACATTTACAACTAAGTGCAATAGGAATGTCCCCTACAAAAAGCGAAAAAAACAGAAAAACGACAATCAAGATCAAAACAGCAGGAAGAGGCGGCTGCTTCACGTGTTTTCAACGCTCTGTCAGCGAAATGGTTTGGGATTTGATGGGGTGGAGGCAAGATGAGCTGATGTCTAATAGACAAAAACACGTCTTTATCTCACTCAAGGACAGCAAACATGAGTTAAGCCAGTTTAAGAAAAAAAATATCAGCCTCGGAGTCTAGCTATGATCACGTTGTGCAAAGATTCTCAACAAGAAAAATATTTGTTTTACACTTTTTTTCTTTTATATACGAGAGACCTTTTGATTTTTGCCGCTCAGTTGGCACAGCTAAACCTGGAATATGTGGGATTTAAAGTCTGTGCTGTATCTAATGAAAATCTTTGATGAAACACACTGAGTGGTGCTTAAAGGGCCTAAGCATTTCAAACATCTAATAAAGGGATGGTCTGTTAGTTTACTAGTTAAACAGTAGCAGAAATGGGCATACAGGCATGTGGTGGATGCTGCCGTCCCACCCCCTTCCCTCAGCTCAAGGCCTGGACACCTGGTATGCCCCTGAGGTCCCAAGGAACAATGAATAGCTGTTTAAAAGGGATAGATAAGCCTTTATTCGTCGTTCTCCTGGAGCACCTTTTTGTCTGCGTGGCTCTCTCTCAAACCAAACCATCACTGCAGGAATGTTGTTTTTATTGATTTCCATTGTCTGGACAAAGATGAAATAAATCACAGCTTTGTAGCCTAGAAGAACAGATGCTCTTCCACATTTTTTCCCCCTCCGGTTTAAGTGTGAGAGCTTTCTGACTCTTGTCACATGTTGCCATATTAAAAAAAAAAATCAACTCAGCTTTCATTTTGTTCATATAGGTGGAGTTATTCTATTTTTAATTATTTGTTTCATGTTCTTTTTTTTCTTTTTTGGTTGCTGTGATATGATTCTTCAGAAAGCTCTGGTTGAAATTTATACTGAGTGTGAATACCTTTAAATGTAAAGTATACTGTGCTGCCATCTACTGGTCATTTTCACTCATTCCCCAAATTAACTTATATTATCTAGAAAATGAAATTAAAGAAGCTATGATACAGCCGAAGAAAAAAAAAAACAATCAAATAAATAAAAGAGGCATATTTATTAAAATAGAGGATATTAAATAAACTGATTTAAATAGTTACAGAAGGAGGAAAGAATTCCCCAAATTGCAATGATAATAGTGATAATAGTGATATATCAATGCTAATAATAAGAATATCACCAAACAATTCATTAATCAAACTTTAAATGTGACACAAGTTACTTTAAAAGGGATGAACAAAATAAATACAGTTATATTTGATAAACTGGATGATTACTTAAAACTAAACAACAATTACAGCTAAAAACTACTTCCTAAAATGGTCAATAAGTCAATCAATAAAAAATAAGCATAGATAAATCAGTACCTGTTAAAGTGTAAACAGTTAAAATCTTTTGTATATAATAATTGCCTATGATTATATGAAAATAATTAAATATATAATTAAATATGCATTGATGGTTAAATCGAACAATAAAACGACTACATATGATGATAATAATGGTAATAAATACATGATTAGGTTTGGGATATTTGATTTTCATGCTCTTCAGAGCACATCGTTCACATCTGGAGCAACACATGTCTAGCCTATTTAAAGAGTTGATTTACTTCCTCCCTTCATGAAGCCCCCACCCAGTGACCATTCTTGACACGATCCCTGCTGGAAGAGCTCTCAGATGTCTTTGTCGCCTTCTTTTGGTCCACCCTCCGCCATTTCCCTTGGTCCCCTCACTCCTTCCCACATCAGACCTCGCTAAGCCCAGAATGAGAAATCTGGGGTTAGAATTCCCAGAGCGTGATGAAGAAGGTGCTCGCCTGCAATTCATATCCGATTCATTAACATTTATTTGGGCTTATATCATTTCTGGGCGTAAGATTATGTTCTCAGGAGAAGTAGGCCAGATCAGACAGCTGGTTCCTGTCTTCTTCAGAGGGTCCCAGTGGGCCGCTGCAACACCACAGAAATGAGCTCTCCTCCATGCTGCGTGCCTCCATATTAGCTCAAACTGAGTATGAATCCACTATGTTTTACAAAGCAATAAAAAAGGCCAAATTAGGTTAGAGCATTAAACTGACTCTGTGTGGGTTTTTATATTTCATTTATGATGTGCAGTGGAGGAATTAATGTATTTTTTAATGCTCTCTCTCTTCTCGTAACCAGCTGTATTTCCAGCTGTATAATACCTCATGTCTCACGTGTGAACGTGTGTGTTTTTTCTGCTCAGTTGGACGACCCGTCAGTATTCCCTGCCGTGATCGTGGAGCAGGTGCCTACAGCTGACCTGCTTCAGGTCTACTCAGGCCTCGAGTCCGACGAGGTGACTAATGGCATCATGGTGGACACAACTCTCAGCGTGGTGGAGGGACCGTCCATCCTGTCAGAAGGAGTGGATCTCTCAGGTAAAGAAACTGTTGTAACAATCTGCCCTCAGCTAGGTTACTCCCTTTATTTTACTCGTTTTTAATCCAGAACCAGGTATTTTTCCCCCTTGTTTTTAGAGAAAGGACTTTAAATTGTTAGGCTGCTTAACTCTAATCAATGACATATTCAGGCACTAAAAAGACTTGTCAAAAGTATGACTAATATAGATGGATTGTGTAAGTTAAATGCTTTATTTGGTTTCCTTATTCTTTTGGATATACCCTGCACAATAAGGTGTTGTATTAAGGAAGGACTAATAACATAATGAATAAAAAGTCAGTACCAGGCCAAAGGAAAACATTATAAGACCTTCAAAAAGGTCTTACAAAGCCCCATTTAACAGATTACTAGGAAATATGTCTCCTTGGAATCCAAATCTAAAATAATAGCCTTGTTTTTTTTATCTAATCAAATTTTTGTATAGTTCTTTAATCAAAATAAACTTTTTAATGGTTATGTCTCCCACTCCAGACGGCAACAGATGCTATCAAGAGTTTATGAAAACTGCCAGTAAGTCTTGCACATCACTGTGGAGAAATATTGTCCTACTCTTCTGTGTAGATTTTTGTTGAATTCACTCAGACTGAATGTTAATCAACCTGAAGCAGGTAAAGATCCTACCTAAGCATAACAGCTGGAAGTAAATCCAGGCTTTATTCAGCCATTCCAACATAAACTAGATTTGTTTTTTCTTTAGAGATTTAAAGGCAGAGTGGCTCATATGCTGTTTATATCTATTCTGTCATATTAAACCAAGTTGAGTACAAACTGAAAAGTAAACATTAATCTTCAGGATTATCTGTTAGAGAGCATAATTTACTACCAAGTGTTTTTTTTATTTATTTATCTTTTGTCAACTAAATGAGTTGGATCTTTTGTTTTTTATTTGGTAAACAGTTAATTTGTAACAACGGCATTTTTGTCAGAAACGTTCATCTCAACTGATGGTTGATTAGTGGAAATGAAGCCAACTTTTGTGGTTCAATACATTCAAATCATGATTTGGAAAGAGGGCTATTTCTTTATACTTACAGCACTATGTCGGTTTGGATAGTTTATTTCAGTCAATAAATCAGATCCTCTTCTTTTTATAGAGAGAATAGACAACCTTATTGTCATTACGCTGTCGCCAGTACAAAGCAATGCAATTCACTCTCTGCATTTAACCCATCTTCTTGGGGAGCAGTCGACTGCCATTGTGCGGCATCTGGGGAGCAGTGTGGGGTTAAAGGTCCTGCTCAGGGACCCAGAGTAAACCTCTGGGATCCAAGCCCAATGCCCAAACCACTAGGCCACCCCTAACCCTTCATTATAGTTGAATCATTAACATCATCTGAGGGAATATGTAAGGGGGTAAATGTTCTGTATAAAAGCTAAATTATTATATTTTTTGATAACTGTCTTTTTGAAAAACTGATGTCAAGTGTTTTTATATCTAACACATGAAGCTTCCAATCAGTCCAGCCAAATCAAAGTAATAAAAATCAATGACAAGAATTTCCCATCAGTTTTAACTCTGATGCATTTTGTTTTCCGGTTCACAGAAACAAGAGGTTCCCGCGCTGACGACAGCATGGAGACAAACGAAGCAGCTGCCGCTCTGCTCAACATGGAGTCTCCAAATAACATCTTGGATGAGAAGCGAATGAGTGAGTTTGTTTGTGTTGATCACTCTGCTTTGAGTAAAAACAACAAAAACAACCAATGCATTGTTTTTGAAAGACGGAACTCAAAGGTTATTATCAGCATTTGTGTTTGCCTTCGCTGTTGGTGCAGTTCACACCTACAACCATCTGCTGGAGTCAGAGATGACGTACACTCCTCTCAGGCCTGACCAGATGGACAACGTTGCTCTTGACATGTCGTTGGATGAAGACACCTCTTCCATGGATGAGATTCCTCAAAAGTGTCCCTTAAAACCTCAGAAAAAAAACAAAGGTAACACGTTTGCCCTTCTTCTCAGACTTATTAGAGAAAAGGAACAATTTGTAATAGTAGAAGGTGATTACATGATGGCCCTCAACCTCCTAATATGTCGCCTCTCAAACTGAATCACAGTGCGAAAGCCCCGGGTAGTGCGTCCCTGCTCTCCAATTACAACCCCTAACCTGCCACTCAGGAAGAAGAGCAAAGAGGGCAAAGGTAAGCCTTACCAACTAGTCCACTTTTCAGTAATGAGCCAATAAAAATCAAGGTCTCTCCTCCTCTTGTGATCACTCTGATTTCTCTGGTGGAGCAGGCAAAGCTGCTCTCAGCCCCTGCGGTCCAGCTCAGTTGAATCTGAGCGAGTTAATGGATGAGGGGATCTCGGGGTGTTGTGTTTCTCTGGGAAACAGGAGTGATTGCAGGCTGGAGGGCACGCTGATGCTTTACAGATAGAGGCAGGGCAGTGCCGCTTTGTTTGGACAATTCAACACCACACAAAAGAGGAAGGGGCTTGGGACGTCGGGTTCAGCCCCACACGTATACATCAATCTGTCACACAGTTTGGGATTCGGGTGACTGTTGGGAGTGCTGCTGTTTTTAAACCCTGCCCGCCACAGCGCCTGGCAAATGAGAGTAATCTACTGTCGGGCTTGCTATAATTAATTTCCTTTCAAACCGACATGCGCACACGTGTCTGTAACAACAATAATTAATCCTTTGACTCCATGGTGGCCATATACAAACTGAACAAATAAATGAATAGTAGTGCTGATCGAAGGCTTGAATTTCTGCCTGCATGTTGAAACTGTGACTCAAAATTAGCCTCCTTAATTTGCAGGCAACACCATCTACCTTTGGGAATTCCTCCTGGCTTTGCTGCAGGATAAAAACACCTGTCCCAAATACATCAAGTGGACACAGCGTGAAAAAGGCATCTTTAAGCTGGTGGACTCCAAGGCTGTTTCAAAGCTTTGGGGCAAGCACAAGAACAAGCCAGACATGAACTATGAGACCATGGGGAGGGCTCTCAGGTAAGAGCAGAATACCAATGAGCCACATCTTCCAAAGTGACATTATCATGTATGCGTTCACTCATCCAGCATTTAACCTTGAAGACACCATTTCCACAGATATGTTCTTATTAACACACTGGAACGGTGCTTTAAATTTTGATGAGACTCGTTAAACTTTAATCTTGGTAATGTCAATAATTGGTTGAACGAACTCTTGCGTACTTCCTCCCTTAGGTACTACTATCAAAGAGGCATCCTTGCCAAAGTGGAAGGGCAGCGTCTGGTCTATCAGTTTAAAGAGATGCCACCTGACCTGGTGGTGATTGAGGATGAGGAGCCTGGATCTGACGCCAACGCTGGGTACGAGAACCAGAGATCTTCCAACGGGCGGGGGGTCGTCCGTGGAGGATCTAAAAGCCACGGCAGGTCTCAGGGTGGACATCACGTGTCTTTGAAACCAATGAAGAAAGAACCCAGAGATGAGTATGTGTACCAGGAGGCTGATGGAGGACAGTCTGAGCAGCTGCTGAACTCCATTCATGTTTTACAAGAGAACCAGGCGCAAAGTGTTCAAGATGCAGCACAGGCCGTGAGGTAGGAGACTCACAAACTAGATATTTTTTTTATCAACATAAAAATTATCCTTCAGCTTTTAATTAATTTTACTCTAATAGTGCTTCCAGTTTATTTAAAAGGACACACATGTGTAACTTAACCTCATAGCACATCACCCTGCATGATGCTGCTACATGGTGGTGGCAGCATCATGCTGTGTGGGCACTTTACCTTAGGACAGATAAGCTGGTCAGAGTTAAACACATGATGATCTCAGGTTGGAGGCTCCAAAAAGCTCAAGACTTTTAACAGCTCCGATCCCAAAACCCTCAAAGTGATTTATGCTAATGATGTTTTACAGACCTTTAAACGTTGCTCATGTTTTTCTTGTTGGAAGGATACTTGCAAAGAAATAAGTAGTATTATTTACATTGGAAATTAAATTGCTTTTGCTGAGTCCGTATTCATGTCATTTGAAAACAAATGCGGGCTGTTACACGAGAGATATGTTTGACATGGTTCATGATATGCACCAAGCTTATTTAGATGCCACAGTTTCAGCTCAAAGTGTCATAAAAGATGTTTGAAACTGGTGAAACATAATTAGGTGAATCTTGTGTTTGTTTTCTTTGTTGCTTTCTTAAGGACCTGGCTGTGTTTACATTAAACTTCATTTCCAAAATGAAATGTAATTGTAGCACTGAAAGTCAGAGTAGTCAAATAGAATTTTAAATTGAAAGGGAAACATTTGAAAACAAATGAGTTCAATTTCAAAGCAATTAATTCACTTCCAATTTACTGAGATTCATTGCATATTTAGTTGCAAATGAGGCAAATACAGATTCAGTGGAAATTTAGCCTCTGATGGCACAAGTTCCTGTTCTCAGGTGCAGTGAACTGTCTGATATCAACATTAAGTGAGCCATTGCTTTACAGGTTTCACTCAGAGTTCAAGATTCTTAGATAAAAATCATTGGTGGAGCACCTCCTCCAACCTTTATTTTCTGTAAATAACACAGACGATGTTTAGCGATGATGGTTTCATTTATCTGCCTGAACTCCTATGAGATTTGTGAGATTAATTTGGACAGAGGTGGGTAAAGTACTCAAAAATTGTACTTACAGTACGGTTACAGTAGCACTACTTCACCTTTTTTTTTCCCTGTATAAAAAAAAAAAAAGGTAAAAAGTACAGAGGATCATAAAATTGCATTCAATGCTTGGAAATGATTCAATCAGACCGATGAATTCTGGTACTTTAAAGATAAAAAAATACAAATAAATAAAATGATTACCAACAACAATAAAATAAAACATTTTACTCACAGTTTAATATTATTAATACAATACAATACAATATTACTGAATTAAACAATAATATTACTGAATATTATTACTGAATTAAAAATAAAAAGTGGAGTACTGTAAAGCTCCCATAAGTATGACCTTTACTTATGCAAATGTTGCTAAATGTACCTCATTTCTACCCACCTCTGGTTGTAGAAGTCATCTTTGGCCATGAATCCTCCTGAAGAAGGCGTTCGCTTTTTACTCAGTGACAAACTATTTGCTGTTTATCCTAAACTAAGACACCAAAAAAGTCAGCTACTATGTGTCGGATAAGAAGTTAAGAACCCCTAACAATACCTGATTTCAAAATATGGTAACTGTCTTTACTGTAGGTAAATGATAAGTGCACTATTCACCACTCAATAATATCTTTGCTTTATGTTATATATATATATATATATATATAAACCTTTGTAAGCAGCGTTAGCTTCCTTTTCTAAACTGCAGTGTCTGTTTTTATATAGTGTTGTTTGCTGTGTATTGTATGAGTCATTATTGCATGTGTAGCCTCCACTGCCTGCATTAGTAATTTACTCTCTTCCTCTGATGTCTGCAAACTGGAAACAGCTCTGCAGTTTGGCACTGTGAACAAAAGAATTATTTTTACAGTAGACACATTTGTGCTGTTGTTTTTTTAGTTGTTTTTTTTATTTTTTTATGATGAGGACATTATGTCTTATTTGTACCATATCATTGTGATATCTTGGTAAAATGTTTTCATAAGGGTTTAATTAAGCTGTAAAAAATGCTTTAAATTTTTAAAGCTTGGACAGATAATTTGGTTTTATTTATCGGACACGATAGTTTAGTTTAGAAAAGGGTTTAGTGTTAAAATAGTATGTGGGTATAAAAATAATCAAGAGCACAGAATATGTCATTCACAAATTGCATTAAATCCCTTAACAGTTGGAATAACTGCCATTTAAAGAGTAGGCCCCCCTGAAATGTTTGAAAAAAGGTTTCCCTTCTCAATCTCTAATCTTTGTTGGTTATTTATCTGTGTATAGAAAATAAGAAAGTAGGTATAAAAAGAATAGCTGAATAAAACCCAAGCCCTAATTAGTCTCCTCCCTCCCTATTTTCTCAGCGGTGAGATGTTTGAGTGTTGACCTGCACAGGTAACCTGATTTAAGTCACCCCACAGCATTTGGATAAGATCCAGACCCGGGTTTAGACTAGGCCTATACAGAACTTTTTATCTCTCTCCTCAGCCACTTCCTGTTTGATTTAATGATATATTTCAGGGTCATTGTTATGATGCAGCGCCCTGCTAGATTTTTTATATTTAGTTGATACCAACCAGATGATTCCTTCATGAATTCTGGTCTCCTTTTTAGGTCCAGTAATGACACTTTTTTATAGACTTCTTTTAGCATCCTACAGCCTGCTTTAAAGTTGTACTCCTTTGGAGGGGTGGGAGCTATGCAGCTTGTTAGTTATTCAGAACATGCTGCACTTGTTGAATATTTTCCGAACAGTGGAATTTAAATTCTTCTGAGCACAGTTTTAAAAGGAGAAGCACTCTCAACAGCTGTTAAGAGTCTTCTTTCTAAAGGCTTCAGAAAGCTCTCTTGATCTGTCCATGTGTTTGCTCTCACTTCAACAGTCTGGAGTACACCGACCTGAATATCTAAGGTTTAAAGGGCAAAATGCTGTGTAATAATGATTCATCAACTGCTCTTGGCATGTTAGTCTGTGTATGGCTTACAGCCGTCGGAATAAATATGGTGGTGTCCTAAATTTTTATTCCATATCAGACATTATTACTTTTTATGTAGATACTTTTTCTATATAAATGATTTTATCTTGAGAATTTACAAAAATCTTGTTTATTTATATTTATCATATTCACTGTTATTGATAATATTTATCATATAATAACTTATTATCAATTACAGATAAAAATTAATAATCCATTTGTCCAAAAAAAGTTGGATTTTGGTGTACCCATTATTTTACATGGCTGTTTTTAAGAAGATAATGGAAAAATAAAAACCGACTGAAATCTGTTTGATTAGATATTCAGAATTTTTGTTGTTTTGTCTTTTCAGGACCATCAGCAGTCCAGTGTCAGTACCGATGGTGCTGACATCCTCCGGCTCGCTTCAGTCTGTCCCCCTCACTGTTCTGGCCAACGGCGACTCCAGCCACTCCTCTCCACCTCGGGTTATTCTCCACACCGTCCCCTCCACAACAGCAGGTGGGAAAGATGTGCTCACCATCCAGACGGCTTCTCTCACAGGCGGCTCCGGCAGCCTGCAGGACGGCCTCCCGCAGCAGCTTCTGGTCACCAATCTGGGCTCCTCTGCCATTTCTTCTGCTGCCTCCTCCTGCACCTCTCCTCCAGGAGTCATTAGTTCTGCCACCTCCAGCCTCAACGGTCTCCCCCGCCTCGTCACCATCAACACCACCGGTGGCCAGACCATGGTGGCGCAGCAGCCTGGCACCGTAATAGCCACAGTACTTAAATCCAGCGATTTCTCTGCGCTGCAGGTCAAAGAGGAGATGCTAGACTCCAGCTACTTCCAGTCGATGGTGAACGGCGATCCATCACTGGCCGCACACACATTCGAGAAGGAAGAGATGGAGGCAGGGGAGGCAGAGCTGCAGTATCGGACTGTGATCATCGATACCAGTCAAAGCCTTGCCCAAGGGGCTGCAAGTGAAACTTTAATAAATGGACATTACTCCCAGAGCAGCAGCCCAGGCGAGGGTTTGACCCCCGTGGAGGAGTTGGAGGTGCGCGGGGAGATGTCCCTGCAGCCTGAGCAGGGAATCAAAAGCCTGCAGGAGCTACCGCTGTCTGTTCAGTTGCCTGCAAACTTTATCCAGATAAAAACAGAGCCTGCAGAGGCTTAGAGCTGCAGGACTCTTACTCACAAAGTGAACCAAAAAGATTGAATTTATTGTGACCACAGACTCGATATTTTCTTCCCCTCCTCTACGCTCTGATTAAATTAATTATCAGAAGTCGGGAATTAACATGCTGTTAATTCCTATCTTCAAAGTTGGTCAGTTCAGCCTCAGGATTTATTGTTTACTCACATGTTATGTGACTATGTGCCTAATTTCAAAAATCTAGGGAATGATTTGTTTTTTTAAGAAGTTAGCTTTAAGAAAAAGGATAATTCCCACACATGTATATGCACAAAAAGCACGAAGAAATCTAGGATTCCTGTCTGCAAATAAAAAAGTGCCAGTCAATTATTTTTTTTTCTTATTAACATTAGATCTCATTGGACTAATGTTAGAAAAGGACCACGCAACAAACCAAAAACAAGGACTGAATGCCAAACACTGCGACAAAAAGGGACACCTGAAGAGCCGCTGGTCTCCTTTAACTGCTTGAATGTTTTTGAGGGAAGCTGGTTGTCACGGTTGTGATCAATCTATGGAAATAAAGAATAGTGATCTCATGAGTTTAAGTACAGAGTGCCTTATGAGACGTTTGGAGGAAGAATAACATTATTTTAATACAGACAAGAAGTTAAAATTCATTTATTTTGACACAAACAGAGAAGGTGTGCATATACTCTGTATCAGCCCTTGCATAAGAACATTGTGTTACTGTTTAAAAAGGCATTTTCTGTGTGGAGCTGCAGACTGGAAGGTACAGCAAGAAAGAGAAGAACAGAACCTGCAGAATAAAAGTAATTTTTGTCCATTTCTCCCTCTGAAGCTCCAAGGTTTAAATCCTGTTCATGTAAAACAATATATATATGAACCTATAAATATATATATATATATGTATACTGTATGTAGACGTATAATATGCAATTGAAATTCAATTTTAAGGCCACAAGAAATTTATTTATTTTAATTCCTAAATTCTGTAAAGAAAAGGCACATTTGTATTCTTTTTACATGTAAACCTGAGGGAAGATAAAACAAGATACCAGGAAGCTTGTGATATATTTTTTTTTGTATAGTATTCAATATAATCAGCTTTGTTTTTGTTTAAGTTCTGTTCTGAAATGCTCAGTGCAGCGTCATTATTCTGCTGCTGTGAATATATCGGTTATATTTCTGTTTTGAACATTTACAGAATGAGCTTTTATTTCCCCCCACTCTTCAGTGGATGTACCTCTCTCTCCTGTTTTCTAACTGTCATGCAGGCGAGGCTATTGCTTAAAAACTTTTGGATTTTGTTTTGCATAAAGTATCAAATCTATTAGTTAATACCGAATTTTTGCTTGAAATCTAATGTTTCTAAAGTGGTTAGAAACGGAAATGGCACCGTGTTCTGCTCTCTTTCCTCTTTTCTCCTCCTCTCCCCTGTCCTGGTGTCTCTGATCTGTTGAAGTTTGTGCCTTCTTCCTATTTCTTTGACCTGTTTGGTTAAGAACCCCAGGCCAGCCATCTGACTTACTCCCTTGTTTCTGTGTAGGGGATGAAGCCATATTGATCCTGAGTGGTATCAGAGCTAAATCGCTTGTATTTTCCTGGCTGGCTGTAGCTGCTGAGTGAGGGACTCTTAAACTAACTGACCTCCATCCTCAGCGTAAGAGTTGAAGGCTGCTTTACAACCTTTACAACAGCCAAAGAGCTCCGCATTCTGCAGGCACTCTGAATGTAAGACATGCTGTCGCAACTGTTTTGACAATCAATAAATACACTGGGTTATATTTGCATTAAATTTTAGACTTTCTGTTAGGATTTTCTTCATATATATATATTCTTATATCCAGTCTTTTCTAAAGCACTGTTGTCTGAATCGTTGAGGTATGTCCACTGCATTTTGTTTTGTTGCATCTTTTGTCTTGGGTGTCGATGGCCTTCTTTTATGCAGAACTTAGACTAGATTTTTCAGAAAAAGTCAATATGCAAATTAAAAAGAAAATCTTCTCTATATATATTTGCTGTTGTTTTTTTTGTTTTGTTGTTGTTGTTTTTTTCCTAGAGCATTAATTTAAAAAAGATGTCAGCCCAAGCTGAAATATCACACCAGATGTTTCTGAAAAATAAAAAGCGAACACCAGATTAAACTAGGAAACAAATAGTGGTTACCGAGTGTTTCATCGGTTTCCGCTGTCAACATAATGAAACCGTTTCTGCCTTGAAAACTGAGTGGTATTGTGGGGCTGCTTCAGCTTTGGGGGACATTTGATCGCATGGCATTTAAAAGAGAAAGTAAAAGCTGTGGTAGGAAACTGGATTGGAGCCATTAGGAGTCCGGAGACTGATTGGACTGTACTTAGGAGCACTGTTGCTTCTCTGGTTGCTGTGGGTGGTTGAATACATTAGCATGTGACATGCCCGGAGCTGAAGACAGCCGCGTCTGTCAGCACAGCTTGCATAGTGAAACGAGAGTGAGTGTGTATGTGTGCTAATACTGTTTGGTGAAAGGAAAGGTGACACTGATTCATTTGCAGAATGGTAATGTTAGATATGTGTGGAAGTTCACAGCTGCATAGCTGCTTTCCCATCGTCAGTTCTGACCTTCCTGGGAAGAATTCGCACAATTGGAGCTTTAATCTAAGAACTGAAACCATCTTAGATATATTTTCTAGCCTTCCTGATGTTGATTGTAATAGTTTCTTTTTTTTTTATTATTATAATCAGAGCAGAGTAGATAACACATTGTGTGAAAGCTTAACAAACTTTGACATCTTTTATTAGCTTTTTGCAGCCAGCCTTCTATGGTTGTATGTATTCCATGTTTTCTAATTTGCATAGATATTTGTATGGCTCATATATTAAAAGCTGCGGATGGAGGGGCTGTGGTTCCTGGACAAGTCCTGATTCCTGTCTATTTACAATCAATACAGAATTGGATGGAGGAGTTTATATCTTACATTAATATGTCTATGTTCATTTGTATTTTAAAGGTTTATTCTATAAAAGCTTTCATACAATACTATACAACCAATAAACACGCTGCTTTGACTACATAAGTTAGATCTGGACCTTAAATCTGGGCTTCATGGAGAGAGAAAGATTATATGAACAGAGCAAAGAACTCTTCAGGTGTCCTTTGTGTAGCTTTTAGCAACTAGGGGCGCTAGACGTGTAATTTCCAGACTTAGTGCCCCTGAAGGCCTCTGCATCGCTCCATCATTGCAAAATTAAACAGTGTCTCCGTCTTTTGGAATCTGATATCAGACCATTTTGGACCATTGGATTGAGAACATTCACCCCTCTAGATTAAATCCTACATCTGAGAACAGTAAATATAGATTTGATAAGGAAAGTGCCATATGGGTTTTGTTGCCTAGCAACATCTTTTAAGGGGAGCTCAGACTGCTGTAAAGCTGCACTATAGGTCACATGACCCACCATGGATCCGGCCCTCTCAAGTTATATCGGTAAGTTTTACAGAAGGGCGAACCACACAGTGCTCCGATACATGGCAAGTGCTGTATAGTGACCTGAAAAACTAATATTTGGGACTAAACTTACACGGTGCTGCTTTAAGCCTTCCTGTAATCTGCTAAAAGTCTTGCTCTCTCTCACATTCTAAATGAACTGCAAATGTCTGAATAGCCTTTCCTTTTAAATAGTGTCATGCTTTTCTGTGCATCCTGTTACTTTTTACCAATAAGAGCTCACAGCGTGTCTTTTCAAGTAACCGTACTGTTGGCAACATTACCGAGGAAGTAGTAATTTTGCCGTCAGTGTAACCTGATCACCCTTATGGGGGATTATGGACAGTTTTGAGTTTAATGTATGACTCCTGTTGGGTGTTTGGGAAGCAGATTTACCCACTTACACCACATGCACATCTTATCATAGGGTTATCCCCACATCTACAGAAACAACAGCAACTTTCAACCAAGCCTTCATTGCAGCCAACATCTTCCTAAGTTTTTATAGACACGATTCATTGATTTTGCCCTGCGTCTCATTCCCCCTTTTGTTCTCGAGGATTACTGAAACAATGGAAGGCAACCAGCAGCCGTCCTGTCTGTGCAATTCCTCTGCTTAGTGAGTCAGAGACCCTGAAGATAGAGCAGGAGAGCCAGGTCCTGGTAGAGGAGGACTATTTCTGTGTCGCCCGCAGCCACTGACACAGTGCGAGTGTTTACTGCTGTGCCATGCTGCCTCTCACAGTGGGAGCAGTTGAAGGATGACGACTGACATTATTGTGCCTCCAGCCTGAAGCAGGAACGGCACACAGAGAGCTTATTTAACCATCAGGTCACCAGACTGAGTGCAGCTTTACCGAGAAAAGCTTTGAGAATAATCATATTTTAGATTATTTAAGTGAATTTGGGTGTATCTTCAGGAATATTGTATTTAAAGAGGGTAAAATGATGACAGAACAATGAAATGGATAAATGGATCCTTTTTTATAGATCTAAGCAGTACACCTTCTTGTACACAAGATGGCACTAGTGAAGCATGTGACCTCAGCAGAGTTGGAGCTTTAATCTGGATTGGAGAGATTCCTTCAGGTCACTAATCTAAATACAGATACTCCTCATACATTTAGTTTTTTTTCACTCTCCTCCAGAATAGTAACTCACACGTCCAAAAAAATAAGGGATTATTTGAAATGAAAATAAGCAGCTGGAAGTGAAGTCTGTCCTGCATTTCTGATAAATAACAAAAAACATTAATTCACTCGCAAGCTTCAGAAAAGTGGCCAATCCTCGGGCTAGGTGCAGCAAAAAAGGGGGAAGAAATCCTTTGAACTGTGATAACCTGGTAAATGCTTGGTATTTGTGTTTATCCTGCTGAGCACGGGTCTTTTTTCCCCTCCCTCATCAAAACAGTGATAAACAAGTGCTGCAGGCGTCGTTCCTATATGAAATGCATGAGAAAAAAATAAGTATTTTATTAAAAATGATATGTTCTTTAACTTTAATTTGTGGATGGAGGAGTTCACTAGCATGAATTTGCATAGCAACAATGCAAATGAACTTGCTTTAAAAAATATAAAACGTGATAAAATGATATTTTTATTCTTCTCGCAGAAATAAACTCAAAGTCTCTGATCTTGTCAGCTATTTGGAAAGGCTTGTTTCATATCAGTTCAGCCAACTTGGATTGTTTTTTTATGTATATTTCATTTATAGTGGATGATGCTTAATGAGCCATGGGAGAATTATTTATTAAGCTGCAGCTGCCGTTACAGAAAGTGGGTCAGATTCCCCTTTTTTTACCTTAAATATTGAACAAACTCTAAGGGTTAAAACTGCTATATCAAAATGTATTTTTTTAACAGCATCCGCCTTAAGGGAGCTCACTTAAAACAAAGTGGATAAAGTTTTAAATGTTGGTTGAATTAAGGCTACGTGAAAAAAAGTGTGTGAATTTTACAAAATATCCTATGAGTGGAATAAATAGATCTTAGAAAAATCCCAGTGTTGCAATGTCAACATGTGTCTTAGTCACATTGCTTAGTATAAATGTGTTTATTTATACACAGCCCACCATTTCAGAACTGTCCATCAGTGATTTAGCATCTGCTCTTCCTTCCTCATCCTGAACTTCTCCCCCCTTCTTTACTAATTTGTCTTGTTTATTTCCTTTGTCCCTCACCCTGTCATCCCCTCCCACTTCTTCACTTTCCCTCACCCATCCCTCCCTCCTTTAACTTTCATCCCCACCTTTCACAATTCTCATCCTCACTCTCATCCCTATATCGTTCATCTCTTATTCATACTATCACCCTTTCCATAATTTCTGACCTTGACCTTCACCCCTCATTTTTACGTGCTTCTTCCACCTGCTCTTCATCCCTTTACCCTCATCTAAGTACCTTTTATGTCCCATTCTTTCCTTTATCATCCCTAAATCCTTACCTCAAAGATTTCTCATCTCATCCTCATTCAAACATCTTTCATGTCTAAACCCTTCATATTTCATCTCTACATCATGTAGCACCACCCCTATATCTGCGCACCTTTTAACACTCAATCCTATCCCCTCCTTTTATCATTCCTCATCCCTACCACCTTTACTCCTTAGTTATAATCTCTACGTCCTGTATCCTTCCAGCCCGTACTCATCACTGCTACATTAGTCATCGCCCCCCACTTCACCCGCTACAGCCTTCACCCCTCATCCCTTTATTCATCATCCTCATCCCTTCATCTTCAAATTCCTGTATAACTAAACTGTATAACTTGTAATCTCTAAACCTGTACTTCGTCATTTCTTTGTATTTGTCCTCAGAAAATCCTCTCTTCTGTATTTCTCACCTTAATTCCTTATCTTTACCCACCATCTCTGATATTCGTCATACCGTTTTCTTTAATTCCTAATCCATACTTCCTTCCTCCCTCATGCCATAATCTGTACCAAATTATTCCTAATCTCCGCCTCTCGTGCCTTTATCTCCAACCATACTTTACCAATTATCCCTCAAGTCATCTGTCTCAATTATCCAATGTTCTTCTTAATATCCTTACCTGCATCATCCATCGACCTTGATCAACCTTTTCCCAATCCTATATGCTTTATCTCTCACCTTTCTTCATCCCTCATTCCACCTACCTTAGGTTTTGACTTCCTCATCCTCCCATCATCCAATACACATATACTTCCTTAGTTCTCCAGGTTGTGTCTAGCAGTGACAGCACTTTGAGTCTCCCTTTATTCTCCCCTATGGTACCTACTCGTGCAGTGTACTTTTATGGTAAAAGACAAGTCATGCACCCAGATAAAATGGTAATGTGACAAATCTTTCAGGATAAGTTGCTTTGTTTTTAACCATCACAACAATGCAGGGTCATTCCAGGTTTTCCCTACAAACCATTTTATTTGTACATCATCTCTAGCTCAAAGTCTGAGTTTAATGGTATATATTAGACCTTTGTCCCAACAGGCGTGAGGCGCACTCAAGAAGCCTGCTGTAATATCTGTATCAGCCTCTCTAGTCGTGGTAAACCATGGTATTCAAAGCTACTCTTAGAGACTTCACAGCAATTTACTCCTATGTCTTCACCAAAATGTCCTCGGAGATTGTCACTGCCTGATAGACAACTAAGGGGATTTCATAATAAAACAACAGTATGTTGTGTTTTTTTACCCTATAAATTCCAGTGGAATAGCATTAATATTTGATGTGATGAATGGGGGAAATAGTGAGGAATGTATTATATAAACACTAATTTTATAAACTCTTTAGAACTGCCTCGGGGGCTGTGACACTTGTCAGCGTTTTGAAATATGTTTGCATTTACTGAATTTGTTAACACATAGCAGCATTTTTTTCTTTTTACTTGACACATTGCTCTGGGCTATTGACATTATTGATTTAAAAATAACAATCTGGTTGCAGTCTGAACTATGAACATATTCACAAATCATTTGCATACATTTCCATAGTGTTTCCAATTCTTTTTCTTTTTTTTTTTGCCTCCACTGAAAGTAATGTCACTAGCAATTATTTTTGATATCATTGACATTATCATATCAAACCCACGTGAGTCAACATGCATATTTACATTGTGGGCGAGATGCTTGTAAATCATCATAAAAAATGAATTATCAGCCATGAGATGCACAGAAGTTATAAAAAAAGAAACAATACATCTGTTTTATCTCACCAAGCTAAATGCCTGTTCTAATGAGTAAAGGGATTAATGGAGAGGAGAGACACAGATATGTCTATGTCTGTTCAATGGAAAGTGCTGCTTTTTGGATAAATTTTTACACAAACACATCTGGGTATCATGAGCACTTTATTTATAACACTTCTCAAAATACAACCTGCGAGATTATCAATACAATGAAATTTTAATTGGAAAAATAACATACAGAAGACTTGTCATAAAAAGCGAATCTTTCCCACTGTTTTTTCTCTTGTAATTTTGATTCTCCTGGGTGTTTGTGCACCTTGTCATTATGATCAAAGAACATAAATTACAAATGCACATCTCATATGCTTATTTGTTATTAACAGATTAGGGTTTTTTTAAGCTCAGCACTGCAAATGCATTGTTACAGATCATAACAGCCTGAGCAAATCAGTATGTTTCAGAATGTTTAAACAGAAACACTTTTTTAAGGCTTTTATTTTATTATTTTTTGTACAGACCGCAGCAGTAGCTGTGGAAACAAAGGAGGAGAACTGATCAGTAAGTACACCGCAAAAGACACTATAGATTCCTACCAATTTAATTGCACAAGCAAAGTTTAGTTTGGTGCCAAAAACAATATAAAAAAGCCAGTTTGTAACACTGAGTTCACTATCAAAGCTTGGCCATCTTAATCTTCTGTTTCTGTGCTGGTTTATTTTTCTTTTCATAGATAATTCTCAGCATCTTTCAATTTATCTCTTGTTATTTTTAAAAGAAATATGAGGCTCTGAAATGCCACTGTAGACCTGTGTGAAGGCAGAGCTCATCTTTATCCCAAAAAATGTCTTCAAAACCTTTTTTCCTTGCCTGATATATATCTTTCTCTGTTGTTGCATGTCTTGATTTTTGAGCAGGCTTCTCTTCTTGTTGATTCTTTCACACCTTTGTGTTTTGTCCTTGGGGGGCTGTTGTTGGTATTGCAAAAACTCTTATCTACTAGTTATGTAAGCAGGAAAAGAGACAGAGATATAAACCAAAATAATCTTTACTGGGAATACCTCCACGGTCTATGCAACCTCATAAAACATGGCTGTCATAGGTTCTTTTCACAAGCTTCTAAATGTTTTAGTAGAAACTGGAAAAGAGGGGATATTTTAAAGAGAAACATTTGAGTTGTACAAGCTTATAAAAAACATTATATGTGTAAATTAATACTTTTTATTAGATAAAAATAATGCAGGATTTCTTTTGAGATTAACAGCAATGAATTAAAATAAAAAATTAGCTTTTCAGTTTTCTTTGCCGAAAGAGGTTAATCACTTTTGAAAGAAACAAACTTTTATTTTGACAACTCATGCAGTAGCCTTTGTATTTTTTTCTGACTTATGCCAGAAGGCCTCGGAAGTATAACAGCGTTGAGCTCAATGTTCAGCTGGAGAGGTTTGGCCTTTCACAGTTTGTGAATGGAGCTTTAAGAGACAGCTCAGATTTTTTTAAAGACTTGTAAATTTGTCAGAAAAGGTTGCCTTAATAGTAGTAGAAAAAGAAATTGCAGTGATTTTATAAAACATATGTATAAAACATAATGCCTTCCTGGTATTTCTGGTAAAAGTCAGTAAAACTGACAAAAAAAATGTTAATGTTTACAATAACTAACAGATTTTTACATGTTCTTCTTACTTTCATTTACTAGAAGGAAGTAAATAAATGGTTAAGCACACTAATGCACACACTCTAATTCCAAGTTTGCCTTCATTATATGAATAACCTGCATTTTTGATAATTCCACCCATACAAACCATTGCAGCTACTAGAACAAAGTCATATACCTGTGTGTTTTTACACCACCTGTTCACCAAAAGAGAGGAAAAAAATAGCTGGAAAAACAACAACACAACAAAAACATGTTGCATTTTAACCTAAAAGTACCTGCAAACTGTGGCTTACTAATTTAGGGTAGTAGATATACGGTAGTTAAAAGTTTAAAATAAAATATATCAAGAATCAGAGACATCCTCAAGTGTATCTTGTGTACATCTATGGATTAGTAGAATACCAAAATGTAAAATTATAATAATTTCAAAAAAGCAAGGACAATTTATTTTTTCTGGTAGCACAGAATATGTAATGCTAATAATGCAACTGATGATATAATCAATGAATAAAAAATGCTGTTTTTAAAGAAATTCATCAACAAAAATAAAGCAGAATCCCAAACTGCTCCAACACATCAGATCCTCCCCAGCATGCGTGCGATCCACCAGTTGCAGGGCATCACAACGTGACAGATGACCCGGCCTCCTTGGTAGTAGTATGGCCATGGGTTGTAGCCACCCAGGGGCTCAAAGTAGCGGCGGCAGTAGCGATAGCCACGTCGGCAGTGCTGGCAGCAGTAGCCACGGTCATCTAAATGGCTATCCAGCTCGATTCCCACCTCCCTCTGCAGAGGACACAAGAGTGAGGAGAGTTAGAATCACACACAACAAATACCAGTCCTCCAGAGGCAAGGGCAGGAAAGGAGGAATAGGAAGTGGAGTGGCTGATGGGAATTGATGAGGCCACTTTTGGTTCTAGGTCAAGAGATGGGACGTAAAAGCCAGACAACAGTCAAAAGATCAGAGCTAATGTGTGTGAAAATGCAAAGTCGTGTCACGTCTAATGGCTCAGACTGAGAGATCAAGAGAGCTGCGAGAGTGCACAGGTTTGAATTAAGCTTCAGGAGCATAAAATATGATAATACTCCTGACCTTTCTATTATAACTGAGGTAAAGCGACTGACAGTTGTGCAGCGATTCCAGGCTTCATAACCTCTCAACCAGCACTATGTTCTGTCAGAGGGAATCTTAGTTGCTAGTAACTAACATAATTACACTATTTCTTTCATCTTTGACCTCTTAACTCCCTCAGATTGAGCACAGACTGCTCTAAAATGGCTGCCCCGCCTCCAGCAGAGCATTCAAATTAGAGCTCCTCACTTCATGGTGCCCTCCTCCTGACCTTGACTTTAAGTGCATGGCCCATTCCTAAAGCAATTAGCCGAGTAATGATCGCCTAAGAAGGATTCTTTCATTTGCTCTTGCTGGCTGCCTCTGAATTTATAGAGGGGCCAAATGAAACCCAAACGAAAGGTAAATTGGGTAGAATTAATGGCCCTTGGATTTTTCCATTGTGCTGCTTAGTTCATGCCCCCATTGACTCTTTGGGCTGAGTGCCATGCCTCTGATCAAGAACAGCTCTGAATGGTGGTTCAGAAAGTGCCACTTAACTGGCAACACACGGGTTGAGGTAGCAAATTCATTTGACCACGTTTCAATCTCTTTTAGCAAATGAATCCCCGGAGACAATCCGGCGCGGCCTTGTTAATCTCCTTGGATCCTGAGAAGCGGCCTCCACATTCGCAACAAACCGGTTCATGGACGCTTGCAATGATTCAACAACGCACAGTCATGCAGAACAAAACACATCAACTGTTGGGAATAGAAAATGTGTGGGAAACGTTTAACCCTGAGGGAAACGGTCCCGTCGGTCCCCTACCACCTCAGATATAAAGGGATTTCTTTAATATACTCAGCAAGTCACAGAGCAGAAAATCCCCCTTTGTTTTTGTTTACATCTTTGGATGCAGCAATGTCTTTCAAATGTATTCATATCTCTTGAACTATTCCAGGTTTTGTCATATTGCAGCCTAGAATACCAATGCATTTTATTAGATTCTAAGTGACAAACAACACAAAGGCCATAACTGTGAAATGAAGACTACAGCCGTACTGCAAATACTTTATTAGCAGACTCATGTGTTTCTGCTTGTAAAGAAGAATAACTATAAATTAACTCAATGACACAATCATACAGTATGTTCATACATAAATTGCCTGAATGGCTGCTATTTAAGGGAAAAGTTGAACCATTTTGAATAGACGCTGAGCTAAACCACTTCAAAACAGAAAATCACCTCAAATATCTAAACTAGTTAAAAAACAAATCTCATAATTGACTTAAAGCTGTAATTGCAGCAGAATGTAGGTGTTAAAAACTATTCCGTTACTAATAAGCTTTACTTTTTGATGGTCGATTTCCTAAAGTAGAGCTAACATATATGGATGCTTTAGGCTGTACTTTAAAATGTTAAAAGAGCTCAGGATATATAAGGACCTCTGCAAAGCACTTCAGTTTCTGTGAACTTGTTATAAGCCAGACCTATGAGGGAGTCTGTCATGCTTCTGATGGGAGCTTTGATAAAGTAAGTAACATTACGCACACATAAGACATATTTAAAACACACAGAAATTGTGTGACAGATAAACATGGAGCTTAGCTGGGTTTGATTTATGGCTACGACAGGCTCAGGTAGGCTTTTAATGATTTATTGTTGGAGTCGGGTTTCAGGTCATCAGCTTCCAGGCAACAATCTGTTATGGAAACAACACGAAAGCTGTCAATGGACCAACGATAATCTTATCTGCTGCTCGCAGCCCAAACTGGGATGGTACAAAGTCTGGCACTCTGGCTCAGAAAAATGAAGGAAATATTTTATTCAAATGACGTTTATCAACTCAAACAGCCAATGGGCAGCATTGTAGCTCAAAGAGAATTCATCAGAGCTATCCTTTTAAAACGCAGTCTACATATTAATCACCTCTCTTGTGGAAAGCTAAGGTGATAAGAATAGTTCACCTTGGGAAATCTGAGACAGTCACTCATAAACAAGCTGCATTAATGAAGAGTAAAAGCCATTACCCCCTGACTGCATCTGATTTCATCACACCGTCCTCTCACACACACACAAACACCCAGACACACACCTCTGTGCATGATATGGGAGGCTTGGAATGAGTCGGCAGAGTAGAAAACTGTGTCAGTCATTCAATAAGATGTAACGAATCAAAGCATGACTCCTCTAATCTCCACACTTGTTGATATTATTTCACACACCCTGATCACCGCTCTTCATGAGCTTGAAGCACATTCCTGGATGTGTTATTAAATCTCAGCGTAGAGCTCATCACATTCATTCTGTGATCAAAACAGCAGCAATAATGCTTCATCCGCGCACACCCTGCTTTGTATTCAATAAGCCCTCTTTTTTATTCCAGGTATAAGGGATGGAGCAACATTTGAAATTTGTTGCTGAGACCTGACCTCACATTTTAATCTCCCTGTGCTGTGCAGTGAAGGTGGACTAACAGTGAAAACGGATATTTACTAAATTAGCGGTGCCATCATTTTTTTTAGGATAATGCTAAGAAGCTTTATGCTCAACCTAAAGGTTCCTCGGTAGGTGCAAATAACAGCTGCCTTTGAATTGCCTCAGGTTTATACATGTCTGGTCTGCATCACACAAAATATGGCTCCTATAGTGCCTTATAGAACTATGGAAGGAGGATGGCTTTCAAAATATTTTATAAATTTTGTAAAAAGTGTGGTGTGTATCTCCACCTGACACTCTATAATCTGATACCCCTTAATGAATTTCAGAGCTGGGTGCTTCAGAGCTCACCTAATTGGTAGAAAAATATTTTGATGATCATGATAATATGATATGATAATAATTATGATTATAATTAAATAAGGCTATATAGTCCGAGTGTTCTTCCCGGTAATGTTTTGACGGTGCTTTTTGAGCCTAAATAGAACCCCAGCACCGGCCCCATCTACCTGCAGTACCGCTGACCTACCAGAAAACCAGATGGTGGTTAATGACATGGCTACTAAATAGGTTCCAACCGTGCTGCAATGACTGAAAACTGACAGCCTGGAGGATGGGGCTCAAAAGCCCTGCTAACACCAGTAACAAGGACATGTACACGTGTGTCTATAAACTTCACAGCCACATCTAAATGCTTTGTGAGCTTTAGCTACAGTTTAGTACAGTATTAGTACAGTATTTTTTTTTTCTTAAAAGAAGTGCGTTTTTTCTTGAATTGAGGAGGTAAGTGAGACACATTGCCAATAAAACAAGAACATTTACATTTAAAATAATAAAAAGAAATTACATTCTCTTATTTAAATTGCATATTTTCCAGGTATCTTATTTTAAAGTAAAAATTTTAGAGTAAAAATACTAATTCCATTGGCAAATCATCTTCTTTACTACTTAGATCATGGGTAAAAGATTTAAGACATTTTTGCTTATTTCTAGATTTTGCTGTGTTGGTCTTTATTTTATTTTTTTTTGCAGCTATTCTGTGAGTGCCACATTCACCCGCCTCCATTGCTTTGGCTTGTTGAACAATTGTACACATGATGCCTTTATGGTAAATACACACAAAAAGGTAATGTTGACTAACTAATTGAGCAAAGGTTAAAATTAAAAGAAAAAATTATTACTTTGCCAGCAGGATAATTTGTCCAAAAAATCATATATGAAACCAGAATGAGTAACTGGTGCATAAATTCAACTAAATCTCAAATGACGTGACTATGTGCCTTTAAGTAAGCATACTTTACAGAATCTTGTGAGTAACCTTACAATATTTACCTACATATTTACCAGACATGAGTCTGGCAGAGAATCTATTGAGGGAGCTAAAATTTTGGTGGGGGATGGCAAAGTGTCCCTCTAACCTCATACTTATTAGAGCTCCTTAACAAACATAAATAATCAAACACTTAAAGAACTGCAATGCATTTTCAAGTTTTTAATTTCTGATGTCAAATAATATTTGACATGCCATTTTAAATAAAATGGAAATAAGAAAAAAAAAAATTTTTTGAACTTTTCTTGGAAATAAGAAATCCTGCTATGTTTTGTCTTCTGAAAGACAGACGTCTGGTTTCAAATCAGATACAAATTTTTTAATGGCACTTCTTCCCCTTAATTTTAAAGTCGACTGAACGGAAGTAACCTTGTGGGTGTCACAACTAGAATAATTAATCCTTAATCTAAATTAGCCAGGGATATGGATATAAACAACAACTAAATTAATGGATTTCCAGCAATACATTGATGGAAATTTAAACATCACCCTAAACACACTATCTCTGGAATGATGAAAGCATCAAGCTGGACAGGCAAGTTGGTCAGAGGTGACCCTGAAGGGAAAACCAGTTAGAGGCTGCAGAAGACCCAACACTACAAGAGGAAAATTAAAATACACCATGACTTTGATGCAATTTATTAGATCAATTTATATCTATATGTTAGACTGGCACAAAAGTCTTAGGCTAATTGAATTGAGAATCTAATAAAAGACTCAGCATTATATAAATATTTATCAATAAGGCTTAGCTAGAGCTAAGAACAACTGATAGAAATTTCAATATAAAACATAATTTTAATTAATTGTTTTTGGTATGTCACAATAAAAACACTGCATTCAATAGTTTGACTAATTTTAGAAGATTAAAAAAAAATATATATATACTTTTTAAAAGGCTTATATAGCATGTGTAGTTACCGAAAGATGCCATGCCAGAAATATACTGTAACCATGCAAAGCCCACATGTTATTACATACAGTATGGTCAAATCATATCAGGAGCTATATTTAGCTATTTGGGTCAAGTACAGTGGTGCCAAATAAATCTCTACAGGCTTGTCAGTTTAGACAGTTATTAATTTGAATTTTTCCAGGGCTAGCTTGGTGGCCTCTGACAGGGCAGCTGTGGCAAAGTTTAGCTACATATATCTGTCAGGCTCTGCTAAAAGGACTCAACCGATTATCCTGCTTTGTGAATGTGCTCCGTGGGCTGGAATGGCTCAGGATCCCAGATTTGTGAAATGCAGATGAGCTGAACGCATGTTTTTTTTTTTTTTTTATGTGTGACAGAAGAAAGGAACCATCAGTTTGTGGGTGTGTGAGTGTGTGTGTGTCTGTGCACATTAACATGAGCGCAGGATGAAAAATAATAATAAATAAAAATAAATGCGGCTTGGCTGACACATGTGGCATCCCACTGACATGAGGGTAAGCTCAGACTCCCAATTACAGACTACTGCCTGCCCTCCGCTTGGCCACAAAGGCCTTTGTTATCAGCAAACCCACAAACACAGCGGTCTGGACATACTGTTGGAAGGGATTGCAATGATGCCCATTGCTTAGCAGATAGAGGCAGAATATTTAAAAAGAAGCGCAGAGTTTTTCATCCCCTTGGTATGTTTTAATTGCGCAGTACTGCATCTCATAGCATGGACAATAATGGAAAAGACAGAAAGTGCTCGGAGAGGCTGGGATAGAGGTCGTAAAAAAGTTACCGTGTTTGTGGGACGAGCCTGATAAATGTCTACATTACAGGACATCTAATTTCTCTGCACGCCTCTCTTCATTTCCTGCCCCTGTGAGGAGGAGAAGACTCATTATCCTTGAAGTTACCTGAAGTCACAACTCACCTGTAAGTTGTGCATACCCTTTCTCCTCTGTGTGTCACCGGTATTTTCAATGTGAGCCTGCAGTTTGCTTTTGTCATTCCATTGTAACGTACAGAGCAGTGTGAGTTTCCCTCAGAGCCTACGATAATTAATCATACTGTATCGAGTGGTTTACATGCAGGATGCAAAAACAGTCCACTTGCCCCCTGCATTCATTTTATGTGCTTTGATAATTAAACCGCAGTTAATAAGTGCAACTTATCTGTACAGCAATGAGTGACCTTGGGAGTGCTTCTCTATGCAGGGATGTTCTCTGACTAAGGAGAAAAAAAAGCAGTAACTGGTGCTGTAAGGCACAAGTTGCTGCCTTTGAAAGGCTGGATATTCCTCTCAATTAATGGGGAGACATTAAGGGAGTCTTCAATGAACTAGCCTTGCTTAAACAGATATATAGAGCAATTGCTATGCCCTCTGGTGCACAAAGTCAGTTTTAACATCAATTAGTGAGCAATTTATATGCAGAAAGAGTCAAGGCAGAGCTGGGTCTGATTGAAGTAGCTCACTGTAGCGTATAGTGTGGTCTCTGGTAGTGAGGAAGGGGAAGGAAAGAGCACTACTCACATAATCGTTCACAGGAGCGCGATCCAGGATGTCCCGGGTAAAACGATGACCTGGGACCTCCGCATCAGGTGTGTCCACATCCTGAACCTCACCATCTGCAGCAGGTGGGAAGGAAAATCATCAGAGTTTGAAAGAGGACTAAAAATAAACAGATTAAGATTTCATCCCATTCTCCCTGTGGCCTTTTGTAATTAACAAGTGAAATGTGTTCAGTCTCATCCCAGGCTTACTTTTTTTTCTTTTTCTGTTCAACCACGTTGTTCCTGTTGTACTCACACCCAGTATCTAATTTGTAAAACATCATATTAACAGCATGTTGGAGGGAAAAAAAAGCCTACCACGATAAACAGCCAGAAAAAGACAGAATCTAAGAGGTAAGATTGTTTTAAGATCTTTATTCTTAATATTTAGTTTTATTATGAATAAAGGCTTCGCGTTTTGTCATGTTAAAAGCTGCAAACATTATTGTATATCAATGGGCAAGGACAAAGCACAATTTGCAGGTTAAGGGACTTTGAGAGTAAAAAGGAGTTACATACAAGAAAAAACCCTGATGACAACGTTTCAGAGGCTCTAAAAGTATTGAGTCAAAGGAGTTCAGCTTTCTTTGGGACATGAACCTAGAGCTTCAGTGGAATTGTTTATTTCTAATATTATGTTAAACTGACAAATACAAATACAAACAAAATATTGACAAACCAGAGCTGCTCTCCATGTCTGAGTTTGAGTTATGCAAAATGGCCAGAATGGTCAGAATTAAGATGTGCAACAATGGTTAAAATATGATTCAAAAGACTCTGCTGTAAGAGGAGGTGAAGTTGCTTCTGCAAATTATTGACTGAGGTGAGCTGAATAAATGTTTTTCTTTTTGTGCACAGCTCTCCTTAGGCTGCATTTGGCAGGACAGGTTTAAACGTCTGTTTCTTGCTCACCAAGAAAAAGATTAAATCTTTTTTTATTGTTTATTAAGAAAAAGGATCACAAATAACATATCTCAGCTAAGTACATTTTCCTTTAACAAACAAACTAAATGACATTCAAAAACAAAAAGCTACGCATCAAACAGCAAATGCTACATATAAAGATGAAATAGTCTCCAATTAACTATGTAATGCCATTCAGCCTGAGCCTAGCCCATCAAATTAGTCCTTGTCTGTTTTCCATTACCTGCTCGGTGGTCCATATTCTATTAAATCACTTTAACTGGTAACTGACTCAAATTAGAAATCAACTGTCCGAAATGATATTTATTAGCTATTCCGCCAATCTTATTTTAAGACAACTTTTTTATCAGAATATTGATTTATCTTCCCTTCTGGTTTGGGTTGGAGACTGGATCTCAGAACTTCTAGCAATAGTTGTTCTTTGATGGGTTAAAGAAATGTGCCCTAATGACTTCTGACAAACCCTGGCTCCTAAACATTTGTATTCACCGAACACACCCAACTTTGGTGTCACTACATGTTGTACTGCATCAGGTTTATTCTTATTTGTTCTCCTTTTAAATTTTTTGTTTTTGTTTTACAGCTGTTGATTATTTTTCCTGTATCTTAATTTTTTCCGTTTATTTGTGCAGAAATTTAAAAGGCTGGTGTAAACATTCCCCCCTTCATCTATTGTTCTATAATACCTCATCTCACTAGGCAGGTATTCACAACAAAATAAATGACATAGACTAGGAACTGTTAAGCTTTGGATTCTTTATAATCAGCCGGTGCTCCGACTTGGTAATTTTGATTAAAATTACTAATTTTATCCATAATTGAACTTGACACTTGTTAATAGTTATTCTCAGCCAAACTAAACCTATTGTTGCACAACATGAGAATGGCTCTCAGATACTCTACTGTTCAATAAATATTCATATCACCTCTGCAGCTAATGTGCCAAACTTTTTGGTAAACAATTTGATTCCCGCTCCCTGCAGTATTAAATAACACAAAGATAACTGTCTAATCATTAGGTGAATATTCATGTTTTTAAATCATTATTTTCGGGGGTGTTTATCAAAACAGCGATCTTCACAGCTGTTTAAGTAACTTTAGTGTGAAGCTGGTAGTCAAAACTGTGTTTATCTTGATCTTCACTCTGACTTCAGACTGTCGATTTTTTGTGATATGAGACTGACAAGGAGCTAAAACTCAATATGAGGTTCTGTCTGTTTATCTAAACTCCAACAATTTATAGTTGGGGTTTACTGTTTTATTTTTTACTGAGTGGGCTTTCAGTCCAAGTCAAAACTTTACTTATTTTTTTACAGTGCACTGTACATAGAAATGTGGTTTTATAGGTATTTTCTAAAATAATTTGGGAATATTTGTTCTTCTTTACTGATGTAATATGACATCCCCCTGCATTGTTTAAATCTAGTTCAACTGTGGATGTCTGTTACAGTCTGTATTCTTCCTCTTTGTCTCATTACCCTGGTGACAAACAAAAAGGGGCCTGGACAAGCTGCTCATAAAGCTGGGAAATCATGCTGCCTCTATGGACCTCCACATGGCCAGTGGGGATGCCCTCCAGCTAGAGTCTTAATAGTCTGCATTTAGAGGCAGCTATGCCCCCTGCCCTCACCAGTCATCGGGGAGGGATGGATCCAGTGGATAGGCAGCTGCTGGCAAATCTCCCAGATCTTTGAGTCAAGCAGGAAGTCCAGGTTAACGATGGGCTCCTCAGCAGGTACCCACACTCGGGGGTCCTCCACCTTCATATCCGTGGCCTCGGACTCATCAACCTGCCAGACAACAACACACAGGCACACACACAAACTCACTTACTGTCACACATATGCAACAAAAACACATTAAAAAGCTTGTTGGCCCCTGCTAAAACACCTACTGCCCCACACACGTACATGTCCTGCATTTTCACAGTTCTGCCTGGGGTGGTTACCATCTTGTAGCTCCATCTATCACCTTTGTGTCTTCAGAGAGGAGAGCAACCTCCTGACACCCTTTGCCCTGCCATGACTCTCACCCTCCTCTCAAGCTGCTGGCAAGCCTCTTTCTATTAAACATCATTGAAATCCAGGGATTATTTGACTTTTAAATGACTTTAGAAGTGGTCTTCATTATTGCAAGAGTGGTTGAAATGTTGATTAATGCCACAGACACAATAAAGTCTTGCATTCTCCTTCTACTCTCCCCCAATTTCTTGCCCGCCTTTACTCCACTTGGCACTTAGCACCATCAGAGGGCTTAATTTGTAGACACTGTAGTTCATGAGCTGTAAAGTACACTATTATTGCTTAATGATAGGGACTACATGTCAGTGTTGTCTAATAGAGACATATGAAGGGGATTAAGTAATGCATTTAGCAATCCACTATCATGCAGATATTTATTTTTGTCATGTATATGTAAATACACACGCAAACAAACCCCTCTCTTCCCATTCCCTTGTTAATTAGCCTCTCAGAACAGAAAAACAGTTCACTTGACAAATGTTTTTACAAGGTTATTTTCTTCCAGTCTGCAGCTTAATTGCACATTAGTTAAGCTTGATGTAGAATCCTGGGGCAATAGCCGGAGTGGGAATCATTTATACGGTCTTGCCCCCTCCCTCATGTTGGCCCTTGTCACTCTCAGTTGAATTAGAATCTCACCCTCTGTGCTTCTTTTTGTTTTTCAGCAGCAGCAAGAAGAAAAAAAAACAGAAAAAAAAGAAGAAAATCTCAGTTTAAGTGTATTCAGCCACGTCAGAGGCCATGTTTGATTGCGGGACTCACTCTTCTTCACTTTGAAGCCCCCACCAGAACACCAATGATAAGTCCGAGGACTGGCGTGTGCTGCGGGGTGATGGTGGTGCTGCAATACTGTGGAAATTAAAAATCAAACTCTGGGAACATAAACAGCACTCTCTAATTGGACCTCTTAACCGCTGAAGCTAAGCAAGTCCTCAGTGGAAAGTAAATGGAGGTCAGGGCATTGGGCTCACAACAAGACTTTGACTTCACATTGAGAAACGATTCCAATAACTTAAAGGAGCAAGAGAAAGAGAGAGAGCGCACCCGGGGGGCGAAGTGGTAAAGGTCAGTATTTTAGCATGGGGCATGGATTTCTAAATGCCAGTTGACAAGCACAAAGACAACATGATTACAGACTGCCAGTTTGTACACACTTCTGAAAGGGTTTTCCATTTTGCTATTGACAAATGATATATTATTAAGACACAAGCAACTTTTTATCATGTATTGGACCTTGAAAATGATGGTAATTTGTTTTCTAGGAGCCTGCTCCTGGAGCATGTAAGCTTTTCGCCTACAGTGCACAACTTAATTATATACCAGTTGTGCTGTAGTTAACAAATTTACCCTCTCCTGCCACTGTGTCCCAAGGGGGGAAAAGCCTGTCGACATGACACATTGTTTAAAACGGTGTTTGCCAGAGATCAACAAAGATTTTCCTACCATACCCAATAGCTTTCATATGCCAAATCCAACACAGTGATTTTTTGATTTTATTTACCTATCTAGTAAGTGAATTTTGGAAGACACATTATTTCATAACAAACAGAGTAATATATCTAAAATAAATCCTGCAGGCTGCTCTTTTCATCATCCATCCATCCATGTTCCTTCACGCTTATCCCTGCTGGGGTTGTGAGGGGTGCTGGTGCCAATTTACAGCTGTCAATGGGCAGGAGGTGGGGTACACCCCGGACAGGTTGCCAGTCCATCGCAGGGCAACCTTTTCATCATCTTATTTACACTAATACAAAAGATAATATATATACCTTTTAGGGTGCAGAAGGTTATATGTATTTCCATTTTTGCCCTCTCCAGATAAAGAATTATTTCATTTATATTTATCAACCCTTTGTATGAGGAATAGTAATGTTGACAACATATTATGTATACATAAAATAATATATTCCAAAAGTGAAACAGCAACAACTGTTTTTAAAGATTGCGGTGTAAGTTTTTGTGTAGCACAGTGTTTTTTTTTGTGTTTGATTGATTTTTTTTATTGTGTCATTAATATTTTAGACATTACCACAATGTTTCAGGAAACAGTAAATATTTCATGCCAAATGCGTTTTCATGCCAGTTGTGACCAAACAGCGCTTTTTGCTATCAATGTACTTTTAATAAGTAATACACTCTAAATGCATCTTCCCCAGACCAGCAACAGCAGGCTTTGACACACTGTTTGGTTGATTTATTTTTTAGCAACACCTCAGATCTTTTTTTCCCCTGCTTCTTATCCTGGGCCATCAATACTGCAGGTTTTGAGAAGATGGTAAATATTGCATGCTAACTTTGCGCCACAAACCATGCATGTCTATGAAATTTAACGGCGTTTTAACACAGTGGAAATTAACATAATAATAAATACAAATATTGGTGATTTTTCCAATTAATATCTGCAGTTTTTAGATGTTGCAATCCATCCAGATGGATTCCATTTGTTTGGTAGTCCGGTTGAGAAACAAATCTGACCTGGGGAGGATTTGTAAATTAGACCTCTCCACAGTCTCTCTTTTGCTATGATATTTTTGGATAACAAAATACTTTTGCTTACCAGGCTCAGTGCTGGTGCCAGGGTATCATTTAATCACAGTACCCCTATCCATAACAAAGATAGACTAATGGGTACACATAATATACCGAGCAAACTGTGATCTGAGCATATTGCTTAATATATCTTAGGCTCAACCCGTCTGATGGATTATTATCAAAAACACTTTCATAGCAAACCTATGATGAATGATGACAATTATCAGTAAGAAAAGCAAAATTAAAGAATTTCTTAAAAACACTAACTAAGCTGTCCTTGGTTAATGGTTCTGTACCCTTAAACATTCATTTGTTCCCTTAACATTTGAATTTTTTTTAAAAAGAAAGCCATAATAAAATAATGCAGATGTGAGAAAAATTTTAATGGTTCAGTTATTATCGTTTTTTTCCAAGATTTGAAGTGACAGAAAGTATGTTTAAATTGGGCTGCTGTGGTATATGTTTTTATTACTCTCTAGAGATCCAGTCCATGTGTTACAGTATAAAACTATGCACTTTTTTAATAATTTTTGAAACTCTAAAATTAACATGTTGACAGGATATGTAAATGCAATTGGAAATCGCTATGATGCATGATATTTATGTTGGGGGGAGTGGCAGAATCTGATAAATTGCTTTAAAAATACAACTACATGTTTCTGTAGACCTTTCTGTCATATGTAATCAACTAACACAATCGTTAAGTGTAATTTTACAGTATATCTGAAAATAATAGGTTTTATTTCTGCAATGGAGGCCTTTAATTAGTGTGTGTTAGGAGTAACCTCTTTGTGCTGGGCCGTTTTATACAAGTGCACAAAAAAAGTTAACAAGTTTTAATAGAAATTCTGGAAAATAGATAGATTGCAAAACAAAAAAAAATGCAGTTTTGGTCTCTATGCAAACATGCTTACAGTGCTGATTACACAATCTTGACATTTTCTATAACTTTTTTTGTAGACCAAAATGTAATCATTTAAAGCATGCCATCAAAAAACCTCTTCCATTTAGAGTAATATATTCCTGCTAAGTGACCGAGGGAGAAAATGGGAGTAACGTACAATATGCAGGAGAACGACTGAGAGCTGGAATAACTATGGAAGTTTTAATGGATTAAGATAGAACTATGCCTATGTTGTCGGCTTAATTAAAGGTATAGTGGAGGATTTTCGCTCCTTTTCGATTTTGAAAAGACCCGCCCTCTCCACTTTAAAAAGAAATGCACATGCACAACCCTGTACCCGCTCCAGAGAGGGAACGCCCATTAAACACGTGCAAGAGCATTCGGGAGCCCATTTCTCCTGGTACACGATTTGTTTAAAAGTTGCTGTTGGCATCACTCATACAAGCTTAATTTTCAAAAGAAGATTTACAATTTTTCCACTAAGTCGGACTCACCACCTGTAAGTGAAAATGGGGACGAGCACATAGGACAGCCTTATGTAAACATGTGACCAGAATGATAGGAGGGCCACTCTTTTAGATGATCCATGCAGAAATAAAAGAATGTCCTATCTACCTTTAGGCCACATTATTAATATTAAGAACAGGTCCTCTGAAATGTAGAATAAATGAGAGAACTTTACCAAAAAGCAAAAATTGGTTGAAAACACATTGAAAATACGGCATGATTTACATTCAAACATCGTCTACCTTCTGTTTAAAAAAATAAAGCTGAAAAGCCGTAAGTTTCAGATAAGAGTGAACAAACACAGCCCAAATTTCAACAACAATTTCTTGACTAAATAAAGACTATAGCCCCATTTACACTACCTTTTTTGAGACCGTGCAAAGATCAGTCTGAGCACATTAACCGAGATAACTGTTCAGTGTAAATGGCAAGCACAACTGAATGGGACCGTGCCAGACACAACCGAACCACGCTACTATAATACTAGTTCATCAGTAGTGCTTGGAGCGGTTCAGTTCTGGCTCGGTTCTTAGATAACAAAGAGGGCATGAGCAGACCAGGTCATCTCCTTGCAGTCAGCCTCCGTAATCATGAAATTTTCAGACATTCATAAAATACTAGCTTCCCTACCTTGCCATGCAATTTCCAGAGATGATTCTGCGTAGCAGTGTGATGAACCCCAATGTCTGTTTTTGTTTCCTGTATCTGTAAGCCCTGATTAGACTATCATTTGTCGTTTCCAAAGCCAACTCTGTCCAGTACATTCACCAAAGTTTGCCTTCTTTGCCTGACTCTCCGCAAACGAATTTTGAGATTTTGAATTTTT